TGGATGTGTAACAGATTTATCTTCATATATTAACTATAGACTAAGATAACAATAACATTAAATCTAGGATTTTACAGGATACGAGTAAACTATCGGCTACGAGTAAAATATCGATTCGAGCTTCGTACCGTAAGGAATGATCATCGAATGATATCGCTGCTGTAACGTTATTGACTCCTTCGATTCGAAACGTCCCCTTACGCTAAATTCCAAAGACATCAATATCGAGGTAACATCATGTCCGTGTCGCGCGATTCTCGCGTTTTGAAACAACTTCCTTACGCCGCGTTCTCGATGATTCGTCTCGTATTCTCGTACGCTCAACTCCACCTACGTTCAAATTACATATTTACAGACTCCTTCGCCGATCTTACAAAAATATTCCTTTACGCGATAATTTCTTCACAGGATCGCGAGGTACATCCTACGAATCGCGAGCGGTTCTAGCTTCGCGGAAGCTACGTTTCCAGGCGTGCACGTCCCCAAGCGTGTTTCACGCGCGGGAAGATGGCCGAACGTGGATCCAAACTGGTGAACACCAACTGTCGGCTGTTCCTCAGACGTCGATGCCGTCCGACGAGGTGTCCGAGTTTTGATCGACGTTCTCCTGGTGCCTGGATCTGATGTGCCTTTCGAGGTCTCTCCTCCTGACCAACACTTTCCCGCAGAGGTCGCACTTGTACGGCGTCTCTCCGTCCGCGTGCAATCGCACGTGCTTGTTCAGGTTGCTGGGGTCGCCGAACGGTCGCAGACAGTACTTGCATTTCAGTGGTTTGTAGCCGGTGTGCGTCCTGAGGAAACGAATTACTTTAATAATATGGTCTATGGGGACGAGAAGGAAAGAATGGAAAAAAAGGACGAATGTTCGATAATAACCGATACTTGTTACGATCAAGGACACTCTAAAACTGGGTCTAAAATGACTATCATGTAGAATTCAGAAACGAGTGGTACAGTCTATGAATCATTCCATTAGGCCATTCTACTAGTCATTCTTGTCCTACAAAAACGACTCTAGTAAAGTGACCTAATGGAACAAAGAGAAAAGAATGACAACAGAGAAAAGCAATCATGAAGAAAGCTACACCGGTACCACTCGTTACGATCAAGGACACTCTAAAACAACTGGGTCTAAAATGACTATCATGTCGAATTCAGAAACAAGTGGTACGGTCTATGAGTAGTTCTATTTGGCCATTATATTATATTCACTCGGTTAAGCTATGATTATTTGAAAACATTTTTATATTATAAAAAATGCTATCCAATGCGGTGACGTCTAGCTATATGAACGTGCAGTAATAACAATGCAAGTCGATCGAATGATTTAATACTGTATCTTTTCTATTTTCTGTATTTTGCTCTATGAAATCGCGCGGCATTCAACGCGTTAACTAAACGACCAATCGACTTCGGAAGCAAACGGAAGCAAGCCGCTCGCAAGCAGAGTCAGACGTGAAATCACCTGATGTGTATCTTCAGCCCGTACTTCCTCGAGTAGACCTTGCCGCAGTAGATGCACAGGTGACCCTGCTTCGATTTCCCGAGGTTGCTGACGATCGTCTCCATTTGAGCGGCGTGCGCGTCCGTGGCCATCGGCGTCGCGGTCGCCTGCACGTTGTACGGCGCGAGGACGCTGTCGTCCCTCGCCGGCGGGCAAACGTTCGCGAACACGTTGCTCTGGTTCATGTACGGCTTGAACGCCGAGTGCCGGTAGCCGATCTCCTTCTCGGTGGGAGACAGCTGCGAGGAAGAGTTCGGCGAGACCTGCGTCGACGACGAGTTCGGTGACGGCTGGTTCGATGAGGACGACGGCGACGGTTGATTCGACGATTCCGGTGAATTGTTGGGAAGAGACGGGTTCGAATCCATGTTCTCGTCGAGGACAGGTGATGTTCTGCTTGGCGACGTCTGCGGCGACCTGGTCAGCTCGAACCTGAACGTCGACTGTGGGAACAGGCTGAGGGACAGGTTCGTCCTTGAACCCGAGACGCTGAACTCCTTCGCCAGGACCGTCCACAGGTGATTGCTGTCCAATCGGTTGCACTTCAGGGCTAAGTGGATCTTCAACGGGTTCGGGTACTCGAACAGGTTGTGGCACATGTGGCAGATGTAACGATTCTGACCTGGAACGGATGTAGAGTGTTAGAGGATCGTTCCTCTGCAGTTGCAGTGATGGCTGAAGAATGTTCGGGTAATTTGCAGGTTAGTTGTTCCCATGTTTCCATCATTGCAGATGGGTCAGGGTTAAAGACTGATGCTGGTGTCTTTGGATTTAATGATGGAGAAACATTGGGAACAAATTCCTGGGCGATTCTATGAATGCAGTATTCATTGGAAGCGTTAACTCTAATTAAAAGCATTGACTTATCTACTTTCTCTATTAAGCTCACGCAACATTTTACTATCGGCAATTTGGAAGAAAACTCTCTACCTCAAGCACAAATTTAATTTGAAGAGGACACATTGATAATAGCAGGATTTTTGCTTCGATCCCTGGGCAATGAACATTGATTTTTGTTAAGTTAACCCTCTGTAGGCCCATGTAACTTTGAAGTCACATGCCAGTATATTGGAATCGTGTCGATTTATTTCATTTTGCACTCAAAGTGTTGAGTAAAATTAAGTAATCAGTTAATTTAAACTTTTATACGCTCAGGCGTGAAAGTTTCACTTTCATTGTAGCTTGAAAGTTACAAAATATTCAATGCATTGTTAACTCGTATTCATATGTGGATACTTATTAATTTTGCACTGCACAGATTTTGTTATAATCACGAACAAAATGTCGGCCCATAGAGGGTTAATCTAGAAATCTCCATGACGAGTCGAAGGGGTTGAAGGTACTAGTGTTCACCTTGGATGTTGCACGGCGTTAGGAAAGGCATGTTCAGCATGGCCAGAATGTTCTCCGTGAACCACATTAGCAGCGGCTCGCCCGGCGTCACGTTCCTGATGGTCTTTAAGATCACTCCCTTGTCGGTGGTCATTAGAAGGACGTTGCAGCTTTGGCAGTCCTTCGCGAGGGTAACGATCTTCAGCCAGCACGACGCGCTGACGAGGCCGTCCACGCAGTAGAGGCGGCCATCCGTGTCGGCGACTTCTACCTGCAATTGTTTACGTTCCCTTAATCACTGATGCATGGTAATTTTCAATTTTTTATTCCATGCATTGTCCATGTATTTGCGTTTTTGCTTGTTCTTTTTGTAAATCGTATCCTCAAGTTAATCCTTTGCGCACGAATGCTGCTACTCGAGATGAAACTGTTACGTTTGGATTATCAGGCGAACAAATGATTTAACACTAGATTTACGGAGTGTATTCGACGCATACTGAATTTTATAAACATTACTTGGCAAACGTTTATGTCGATTTTGGTTGATGCAGTTACAAGAATAAGTATCGTAATAACCTAAGTTTAAATCCCTAATTTCCAAGATCTAAATGGTCGAACATCAATTTTTCTAAGAACAATAGAATAAACTTAGTGTTAACTACTTAAATAGTAAAGAATCATAGGTGCCTTATTATCTGTTATTTCACACGTTCGTGGACAGTAACAATTTTAAAAAGTAGAGAAAGTACCGTACTCCGAGGGTTAACCCTTTGTGGACGAATGTCATCAAACAATGCCTGCCGCGTTATCAAACAACAATGACATGACAAAACAATAAGTTAAGTATAGATTCTAGACACAAGGGAGCGCGTGCAACGGAGAGAAGAAGAGAACGCGTGTATATAAGCCGTGAAAATCGGAGCGACTCGAGGTGCGGCGCAATGGCGACTGCAACGGTGCGAGTCAGCGGAGTATACTGTATTCCGTCTTGTGTCTTAACCTTTGCACTCCAGAAGTTTTCCACCGGAAATATTCAATATTTTCTAATGAGATGCAGACGATATTTTCTTAGACTGAATTAAGAAATCTCACTATACAAAGTTTGATATTAAATATCAAAGTTTACAGTTTTGTTGTGTCGAAATATTAGAGAAAAGAAACTGAGACGAGCCACTGAGTTCCCAAATGTAGTTTATAACTAATAACAATATCAGAATTAATTTGATTTCCATTTTCTGACAGCGAACGTATCAATGAACTATTCAATTCAAATTCTCCACTGTTCTAGCCACAACAAACGAACATTCTCGTGTGATACTCACGTATTGAATGACCGACGTGCTCTTCTGTGACAGTTTGTTCACGTCGATGATCTCCGTGGAGGAGTCTCGCCTGAGTATGCCAGCAGCCCTGACAATCGGCCTCTCAGCGAATACTTGCGACACTGACGTCCTGTCTAGCGCTTCTATGCTCATCATCAAAGCGTTATCGGCGATGATAGGCGGGTACATGATCGCGTTCGTCGATTCCATTTAAACACACCGGAAATCCTTCGATCGACACGGATGCTCCACAGACTGACGTGCAATCTTCAAGATCGCACGGACCGATCTCGATTCTATTTTCAAATTCTCTCTTCTATTTCTCGATTGTCACATGTAACGTCGGTCACTTGATCGGTTCACGGAATTGCAAGTAACACGTGTCGCGCGCGTTCAGCTGGTAAACTTCCGAGAAGCACAATTGTTAAAGGTGGATGAGGATGATGATTCGATGGCGAGGTGTCAACTGAGTACGACCTGTACACCGCACGTGGCTTAAATATATTCGGAGAGCTCATACCCCGATTTGACTAGCTGGGGGATGCTTGCCCCCTCCCTTCGGCTTGGTTGCACCCCAGCTTGCTCCGTGGCGAGTGTAGGTGTAATTGTATTTAAAGAGCCGGTTAGGGGTAGTTCGGCCCCTCGCGCTGCCGATCCTCGAATCCTGGTGCGTTGCCGATCACGCGGGGTGGGGAGTTTGCGGTTTGCTGGAGGGGGTTGATGATTCTTAGTTGCACTCCGAGTGCAAGGTGCATCCGTGTGATCTATTCAAGATTGAGATTCTCTTTGGTTTATCGGTCTCGCTATTTATAGCGTGACTTGGTTTCTGCGTTTAGGTTGCCTTACTGTAACGCGAGGGGCTCGTAGATTTTCACCCCTTAGAGCAACGCGCAGATACGACTTTAAACAGAATTGAATCGACCGAATTTAATATTATTCTATTATGAACCATAGTTTGGAGCGAAGATTGATAACGCCTCTGTTTTTTATAAATGAATTATTGAGAAAGTAGTACCATAGTCGAGGAATAAATAAGGGAAACAGAATCTACCGAACGTAAAAATTATTGAATTCCGCATTCAAATGAATTGTTATTGTTCAGACATAGAATATGAATGTCTCTCTGTTCGATGAATAATTACCGAAGTTGTCGCGAAGTATCGTTGATGTTTAACGTTAGTGTATCAGGAAATATATTGTAGCCAGGCGCAACAGGTTATTAACAACGAGAGGTCTCCGATCACCGGTCCGTGACGGTTTCCCGACGTCCCGGTGCCGAAGCAGCTCGGTAAAAAATCACTCGCCCGGAACGTGATAACGCGGCAATTGTTTTACTACCCGCACTTCCGAGATATCCCTTAAACCAACGATACTCTTTAGTATTCGCTGAAATTGACGGCGTTAGGTACCGCTAATCGAACTTGTCCCTGCAGGTACAAGGGTGGAGTAGCGGATGCGTGACCACCCTGGGGATCGGTGTTCGGCCTAGGTCCCGTTTTCGTCCTGGTTTCCTTCGGCCCACCGAGATCGGCCGTCAGTGGCGCCGGATTGTCTGACCCATTTCTATTCCAGGGATCACGCTTCTTTCACGATTACTCGGCTGTGACGACGTCGCACCACGTCATCGTTGCAGGTAGACAGCGTCGCGCGGCTAAGAGTGCCCGTTAACCCCTTGTCTTAACGATTTCTTTCTTAACTGTGATCGATACTAGTTTGTCATTAATAATTTAGACACATTGTATGGTGGATAAGTGTCAGCTACTAGACACGCTAGTGATTATATTGATAGATCTTTGAACGTCGATCGAACCGAAATTTGTAACTTACGAGAAAGAATGGGGAATTCGATTTTGTGATTTTACTTTGGATTTGTGTTATATGTACCTAAAATGTTTAAACGATAGATTAAACGTCTCGCATCACGGCGCAATGTAAGGAAAAGGAACAAGTTATAGGTATATTCTATATCAATCTTTGCTCTAGAATATAGTAATTGATAACAGAAGAATAATATCTGGAGAACCAGCGGCAGTAACATGTACAGAGAAAAGTTCTCCATAACCCACAAATCAGTGAGGAATGAGTGTTGTAAATAATTCCTAAGAATTTTGCCACTATGGTGGCTGACAGTAGTTAAAAAGATATTCCTTTATGTTCTCGTTGCTTTGTAACACACACCACCATCCGTGACCACGTGACCAAAAATATTTCCTTACAGAATATGGTATTAACCAGTTAACTGTGTTTCACGAATACACACGTCATCGTAAAGCTTGGCATGATTATTTTGTCACATAAACATATAATTCTTCTCTGTTTCGCTTTGATCTTTCATTAAAATATACTCTACGCGCATTCGTCCTGCGTTCGACGAGTGCACGCTCCATTTTTTAATTTTATTGCGCGCAGAACGAGAGGTTTTTCCAACTGAGTTCCACAGTTAACTGGTTAATTAGCTCCCACGTTCGCGACGGCACTTGTTCCTTCAACTTCCTCGCGCACGATCATCAGTCCAGACGACAACAGTCGAAAAGCTGAACACCGCGGTTCGACGAATCGCGGTACGAAGATCGATCACGTGTTCGTCGTTTTCGCAACACCTTCGAGTCCGGAGCGTGTCTAATTGAATTTTCGCTCGGCGGAGATTCGGGCGTGACGCGCAGGTCGTGAAGGGCCGTCACCAGGAGCCCTGGACCGCTGGATGTTTGATGGGGCTATAAAAGCCTCATGTGAAAGGACATTGTTTGGCTCAGCTGCAAACCAATGCGCGCCGCGCCGAGGGCAGGGGGATATACAGGCCGAAAGGTGCATCTGAATCAACGATTGATTAGGAAATTAAGTGGCTCATTCTTCTCGCGCGCGTGCGTCGATCACGATCCACCGATACCGCGCGGATTTGCGTAATCGTCCGACGATCTAGACAAACCGGCGTCTCCCTCTCTCTCTCTTTCTCTCTTTCCTCGTCGATCCCGTTACGAATCGGACGATCGATTATCTCGTGGACGGGATCCCGGTTTAACGATAATCACGGTGCACGTGTAACCATTGAAACCGGAGACAAGAGAGTAACAATATCTCTGCTTATGAATTGTCTTGTAATTAATGAAATATTATTCTGGCGAAATGATTCGGCGACGCAACTTCCCCGGCGATTAATTCGGAATAATCCTGGAGACAGGATGGTGTCCCTTGCGAGCCTAATGATCCTACTTAACCGTTGCCTCGGGCAGCTCCAGTAATTACGCAGCCGCGGGTATTTTTGCACTAATTGCTAGTACCGACTCAAGTTCCCGGATTACGTTAGCTCTCGAGGTTAATACGCCGATTATTATCGGCTCCGGTTAAAAGGCTTTCAGCGTCATCGCTGCGATTTAGTTTGGCAGCAGTGATCGGCCGCTATTCACCGCGCCGAGGATTCCAAGAATTTTCGCTTAACGAGCTTTGAGAGCCGCGTTTAACGCTGCCATTGTAAACCGATCGCGATTAGATAGACCAGGAACTCCTTCTACTTCCCTTCGAGGCCACTCGATCTTCTTTGCTCGTTCACCTGTTACCTCGTGATACTGGTGTGACTCTCTACCGTTTGTTTGTCGTCGTAATGTTTATTGCAAAGTAGAATGCATTCGTTGGACCAAGAACCACCTAACCAAGACCTCACCTAACCAAGACCTGTTACTTCGTGATACATTAAGCAACGAAGGTATTTTACTTAAATATTTCACATAACAATACAAAGTTCAATTTAAAGTACTAAATATTCAACTTCATAGTTGTATCCGGATCACGTGGTGACTGAGAGTCACCCCTCGAGTGCAAAGGGTTAATTGAAAATGGTTTAAAAAATTGAAAGAAACGAGTTTCTCAGAAGTTTCACATCGCGTTATTTGAAACTAAATTAAAACAACAAAAAGAAGAGACACGACTCAGACCACTTTCGTAATTATGGGCACACATGTTCGTACAGTTATCGAAAGGATTGTCTTCGAATTAAAATACAAGTTTCGAAATACAAGTTCTGCACCAGCCGAAGGAGAACCAGAAGATGGGCATGGTTCTTGGCGCAGCGTGTCCTGCACGGGTGACGTGATTCATCCAGGGTGAATGGTGCCGGACCAGGGAATGACACGAGTGTTCACAAGCTGCACCATCCCCCGTACCAACCCCTATCTCTCTCTCCCTCGGAACTCCGCCACGAGTGTTCGCCATTCTTCGGTACCCCGTCCACGGCAAGTGTTCGCCACCCCTCGCACGGTCCGGCGACGATAAACACGCCGGCCTCTTCAAAATTCGTCCATTGTAATTTGCTCACCGGGTTATTACTATCTGTCTCTCGATTCTCAAGATTCCCAATGTTCCAGGAACCTCCCTGTAAAGTCTTTCTACGCGCAACCGACCGTCGAATCGAGATACAAGGAATTAACGGAGGTTAAAACGAATTTCCGATCGATTCTTTCAGAATCAACAGCGACTTTCGGCCTAAGAAAATTCGTTATCGTCCCGCTCGTCCTTTTTCAGACGTCGGTCGGATAAATTTCGGTTTCGCCCGCATCCAGGCTTGGTCCTGGGTTGGGGTTCCACCCTCCCTCGGCTCGTCTCTTTCTAAAATCAGGGTGCATTCAGAGAACCGCGAGCCAGCAAGCGAGCAAGTGTTCCGCCGTGACCAATGGGCCCTTGCACGCATGTGCGCGCTTCCCAATGCGATATTAATATCGCGATTATCATCTACGTATTATCGCCGGCCCACCCTTAGTGGCACGATGCTCGAAACAAGCCTGCGAGGAACACCCTGCTGCACTTCTGCTCTTCGATTGTCTTACTCGCGGTGAACGCTTCGAATAACAATTCCCTGTAGGAACGACCGGTGTCCGTGGATATTCGATGGAACACGTATTCAGAAATATATTTTTCAAAGGGGATGCACAACGCGTTAAGCGCCATGTTAGATGACCGACGCTGAATTAGTTAAAATAATTGTAATATACAGGATAACCCGATAATAGTCTAATGCAAAGATTGTCACCTAAATAATTAACCCTTTGCACTCGAGAGGCGCCTCCCGATGATTTGACACAGTAAAATTATAAACATTGTATAATGCATCAATAAGTGAAATACTGAAATAGCTTTGTTCCTAATTCATGTATTTCTTAATAAACTAACTTTAAAGAATCTTGTTACATCTAATTGGAGAGTATTGAATGTTTCAAGTG